TCATTGTAAATAAAAAAGGAGGGAGGAAGGCAGACTGGAGTAAGAGAAGAGAAGCATATAGTACTAGGTTTAAACAGAAATTAAAATATATATATAGTGAGAGAGAGGGGAAAACATATGAAGCAAGTTAGAGAAAAAAATCCAACACAGCACTATCAGTAACAAATAAGCAAAGGTTAATATAGATGGCATGGGAATAAGAGGGGAAAAAAGAAAAAGAAGCTTAAGCAATATCTAGAGGAAAGAGAAGTGGTTTTGAGAGGATAGAGGAAGAAGGAATACTAAGAGTGAGGAATGAAAACCAAGCTAAGGCAGGGACAAATTAAAATTTAAAACGAAAAAAAAGGACAGGAGGAAAGCAAAATCGAGTAGGAGAGGGGAACAGTAAAATTTGAGATTTGAAATGCAAAATTAATGAAGATCTAGAAATAAAATAGAAGAAATGGAACAACCACCACCATGCCCACAATCAACAAGCAAAGACTGATAAAGGTTGAGAGAGAATAAGGGTATTTTAAGAACAGTAAAAAGAAGGTGAGATGACTAATGACAAGAAAAATTGTTTTGAGAGGCTAGAGTGGGGAGAAATATTAAGAATGCAGAAAGGAAACAAGTTGTAGCAAGAGAGAGAGAAAAATTTAAAAATAAGAGGAAAGAGTAAAATGTATTAAGAGAAGGGAGGAGCAAAATAGGAGATTTGAAATAAACTGTAATATAAAAACTAGTGACTTAATATGTACAAATTTGAAGAACAAGAAATAAATGTTAAAAAACTATATAGGAGAGAAAATACCACAAATTATGAGGAAGACTGCAGTGGATTTCATCTTGGTAGCATCTAGTATTTACCACTGTTTTTTTTCTTTCTGGATCTGTATTTACCACTGTTTTTTTATTTCTGGCTCTGCTTCTGGTGATGTCAGGTGATGTCCGAGTCTGGCCTTAGGCTGCCTATTTGAGACTGCCAGGGATCCACAGTCTGTGGCTGACTCCTTCAGTTGTTAATCTAGTCACTGCACTTAGCAGTAAGGCTTACGCACCACAGGGTGGGGCAGAGTAATTCCTTGGGGTGGGACTGTTGCATTCTCCCAAGATGATGCCACACAGAGGGGAATGGTCTGCCTGAGCAAGATGGCTCCTGCAGTATGGGGGTGACTCAGCACTGGGATCCTGGCGTCTGCTCCCTCAGTTCTCTTCCCAAAGCCACCGTCCCCAAACTCTCCTCAAGTGTCTCTAGTTCACTCTGCCCCCACTGCCGTAGCACAGGGTAAGTGGCTGCAAGTGTAATTTTTCTGGTGGCCCTTTAAGAGGCTTTCTGTGTCAGGGAGGGCTCCATAGCTCAGGGGTTAGAACACTGGTCTTGTAAGAGGTTTTCTGTGTCTCCAGCCTTCTCTCCCTGGTGGACAGAAACCCTGCCACTTTTCACAGCTGGGTGTAACCTGGATTACTTTCTGGCTCTGGCGCTCTAGCCTGGGGTTCCTAGCTTGGGTTTTAGACCCCACACTTCTCAGGGGCAACCCTCTGGCCACTGAAATATTCCTCCGGCACTCCAGCTGCCTCCCGTGGGAGCCCAGCCAGCCCTCTTGCACTTTCTTGACCTCCTCATTCCCCACCAGTCACATTGTGGGGAAGTGGTTTGTTCTGTCTGTCCGTAGTTAGAAGGCCTCTGCAGCTATTGTTCTGTTTGTTATTCTGGATGATTTCTCTACAATTTAGTTGTAATTCCAGATTGGTCCTGGGAGGAGGTTAGTTAGTGTAGCTTCCACTTACTCCTCTGCCGTCTTGGATTGCCTGTAGTTGATTATTTAAATAACATTTTTCCCAGCTAGATTCTGAGTTTATTAGAAAAAGGGATGGCTTATGGCTTATCTTTCTATACTCAGCATCTTATGTATTCAACAGAAATTTATCAAAAAAGTAACAAGACTTTGATAAGTAAAAGGTTTTAGCTTAGTCTAACTATAGATTCAGTGACTCTGTTCTGTAATAAATGACCTTTTGGTGTTTACCACATAGTTTTATGTCAAGCCTCTCATGGCAACCTAAATGTATTTCGGAGGAAGAGATTAACCAATCCAAGCTCACCTTGGATTTATTTCTAAATGCATGAAAACATATCTCTGTCAGAGACAATTGTCAGACCTAATGACCATTGCCACATACCTGCTGGCCTTGGCCCATTTCTAGAATGCAGCAAAGGAAGCACTGCATTTTTCTCTCACTTTTCTGCAGCATCCTTGTGTCCCCTCTTGTTACAGCTGGACTTTATCTACCTTCTTGTGTATAATGTACCTTGATTTATTTTCTCCCTGTGAAGTGATGATGAGTTATTTCTGGTGTCTGGAGAGAGAGCTGTTCAATATCAAGAGATGGTAGGGATTTCAGTAGCTCACATCTTCTGTATAAAACTGCAAAGGAAAATGGTACGTAGTTGGTGAATTGTAAAGAGTAAAATATTACAGACCACTAAAAGATACATGTTTATCTTTAGATCTTTGGTTCAGTTCTCACTCAAAGAGGGCAGAGTAATTATAGGCAGTGTGCTAGGGTGGAAATAGCACCTGCTTTGCAGGAAAACAGTCCAGGACTTAGATTCAGTTCATCAGTACACTGAAGTCACTTTCCTTAACCTCTTCCTGTTTTCAGACTGATAGGTCTCAGGGTTGTTGTGAGGATCAGATGAATTGTGTGTGTAAAGCACCCAGCACAGTGCCTGGCATGTGGTAGGTTCTTGAGAAACACTAGTTTCCTTTCTCTCATTTAACCAGAGCCAGTGGGGATGAAGAGCAGAAAAATACATGTAATTCAGGAATGAGTCTTTAAATAATGTCCAATATTTCTAGCCCAGTTAACTTTTTCTTCATTGGCCCTTTCCCATTTCTGATAGTTTAGTTTACCCCCACCTCTTTGATCAGACTGGAATACTTCCTGAAGGAAGTCCTTCTGAACTGGAATCCTGAATCAGGAAGAGTTAGCAGTTTGTTAAAGAGGAGGGGAGAAGGGCCTGTGACTGTATGTGTTACACTGATGGTTGATGGAGGCGGTTCGCTATTGATATGTTTTAAAACCTGAGATTCTTATTAGTTAAGACGTATGCCTTCTGTTCAGCAGTCACTGCTCAGAATGCGCAGAGATTCTTTTCCTCCCTCTGTTGGCACCCAGTCCTAATAGCATTCGTGTAGCTGGACTAGGAAATATAAACTTTGTAACAGGAATTATCATTGGGAACTGTCAGATACTGTCCTAAAACTTCGTGGGTTTGAATCATTTAATATCCCCATGGTGTAGTACTACTATTAGTTCTGTTTTACATATGAGGAGGACACTAAGCACAGAAAGATAAAGTGATATGTCCAGGATTTCCCAGTAAGCGGTAGAGCTGGGCTCTGAACTCACCATCTGCTGTTGTGCTGCTAGGGGGAGACCTGTATTAAAGAAGTATCACTGTGATTAGCCTTCCTCTCTCTTCACACAACCAAAAAATAAAAAGTGGGGACTTAGATATTTTCTGTGGTTTTTGCTTTGTGCTGCTGTGCAGGAGTATCTCTCTTATTGGAGGATGGATTTGTCTTCAGTTATAGGTAGGGTAGGAGAGTTGCATTAGAAGTACAAACAAATAGCAACAACTGTTAGTCACACACATTTTTTTTAAGTGCAGAAAGGGAGAGTCCAAGAAATGAAATAACAGTTTATCTAGGTAGTATAATATATTGAAAAATTACAGACTTCAAAAGAAATACTGGAGACCTTCCCATAATACACAAACATTTTTATTGGGTGGGCCAAAAAGTCTATTTAGTTTTTTCCATACAATAAAAAACACATTTTTCATTTTCACCAATAACTTTTCTGATTTGGGTAATTTTAGTGTGTTGGCTGTCTCCCACTATTGGCTTCTAGTGGGTGGAGGCCAGGGGTGCTGCTAAACACCTTCCAATGCATAAGACAGACTTACAGCAAAGAATTATTTGGCCAAAATGTCAGTAATACCAAGGAACATCGCAAACCACTTTTGACATGTTCAATCAGTCACAGCACCTTCTCCATATACTGCACAAATCTTTTTTTGTGTGTTTCAGTTGTGTTTTTGCCTTTCTTGAAATAAGAAGACATAATACACCAAAATTATGTATTTTCTTCCATCGTCAGAATTAAAATGGCTACACAAAAATTTATCAATTTTGATAAGTTTTTTTCAAATGCATGCTGATATGACAGCTGTCACAATACAATCTAATGAAATTGTTTCAACTGAAGTTTAAGACAACTAAGCACTACTAGAACCATCATATGGAAAAAACTAAACAAACTTTTTGACCAACCCAAAATGTAGCTCCTTAACAACCAAGTGTTTTTTTATGTTTATTTTACAAGTTTAGAAATTTAGGCATTTTCACTATAGGAACAACTCCTCATTATTACTTTCTTGATTAATTAGTGTTGAAAATTTTAATTTTTTGAATTAGGAGCAATGGTATTTAGTTGATAGATGACAAAATTGTATGTAAAATGTGTGTAAGAAAAGATAATCTTTGCAGAAGAATGGAAATGAATTATGTTAAATAAGTTTATGAGTGAATTTTTTTCCTTTGAAAATTTACACAGTCAATTCTGGAAATATTTGTGGAATTAAATGAATAGTGGATAGAAATTGTGTTTCTTTTCCTTAGTATTAAATTATTGCCAAAAACTACTAAAAGAATGAAGAGGTTGATTTGATTATTCTTTATAGGCATATTGTATTATAAAGTTATTTCAGTGTTAACTTTTAAGAAAGAGTTATACTTATTATAAGTAGTAGAAAATCTTGAGGATAATCTCAGTATTCCTGACAGCTTAGAATAATGTATATCTATCATTAAAATTACTAAGACATGAGATATATATATTAGTATAATGTGAGCTATATATTTATATAAAGTAAAATAAAGACCTTAAAGAGAAGTCAGCCTTTAAAGGGTAGGACTGTTTGTTCTTAATATGCCTTCTCTTTATTTTAGAGTTGATAGATGTCACACGCACCCTGCTGCTTCTAAACCCAGACTTTACCACTGCATGGAATGTGAGGTATGTCATGCTCATCAGTGATAAAATGAAACTGTCCAAATTTCTGAAGACAGACAAGCCCCATGAGTTGTTAGCTTTTTGAGAAATGAAATATAGACCATATACCCATGGCATCTTACACTTATTTCTTCTGTACATTCTTTATAATATCTCCATGACAAATCTAACATACACTTTGTCCCTTTTTGCACGTTAGTATCTGTTCTCTGTAAACTTTTCCCCTGAAATATAAATTGTCATGCGGAATTACAGTATACCATTTGCCTCATGCTTTCATTTTCCTTCCTTTTAAGAGGGGTAGGGGCAATTATCATAATTGGTTGGCTTATAAGGCCCTGATTAGTGTATTTGAGAAGCACTATAGTGTGTAGGGTTAGCATTCAAGGCCATGGACTTTTAATCTCAGTTTAGTCACTAACATTGTGACCTCTGTGGGCAAATCACTTGAAGTCTCTGGCACTGAGTATTTTGGAGAGAGATTACATTTTGTTGATAGTCTTTATTTCTAATGATTATAGCTTTAAACACAAAATACTTTATAGGACTATTAAAATTCAGCCCAGGTTCATATTTTTCACTGAAGTTTTTTCAGTTAAAATATATGTATAATGTTTAAAATCTGGTGGTTCCTTAGACTAACACAAATTCTCTTAGAGGAAGGCAGGATACAAATTATAGATAAGTAAAAGTGAAGTCCCATTGAATGTTATAAATACATTTTAAATTTTCCTATAAGGAAAAGCCATAGACTGCAGTTCTTTACCTTAAAGGTGACCTCAACAATACTTGATTTAATTTCTCTGATTTTAAGCAATGTTACAGAGTTAGTATTTTTTTAATACCTACTGAATTTGGTATTTACTTAATTTTTTTTTAATTTAGGTAATTTCTGTCTTTTTAAAAGTGTCTTTTGAATAATTACTGATCACATATATAGAGTTATATGGCTTTAAAATTATGTAATTTTAGAATTCTTATTTTCTTTAATGGAAAGCACTATAGTAGTAGGGAACAGACTAATGTTTATAGTGTCTACTATATCCCAAGAACCATTCTACAACTTTATGTGTTATCTTATTTAATCCTCACAATTTTTGACAACATATGTTGATTTATCAAATATTTGTTGATTAACTAGTATGTGCTAGATTCTAGCCATTAGGAGTAGAGCCAAGAATAAAACAAAAAAAAAATCCCTGTCCTTGTGAAATTTTTATTCTAGTAGAGAAAGGCAATAATGACATTCACAAGTAGAATATATAATAGATAACATTGGTAAATCCTATATGGAAAAGGTAGGGAAGGCCAAAAAGAGGATGGGAAGGGTGGTTTTGCAAATTTAAATATGGGGCATTTGAGTAAAGACTGACATGAGATCAAGGATCAATCTCTGTGGAGGTTGGGGTGAGAGCATTCAGTGTGGACTGAACCAAAAGTGACAATGCCCCCAGTCGTGCCTGAAGTGTCCCTGGGTGTTCTGGGACAGCAAGAAGGCCAGTGTAGCTGGAGTGGCATGAATAAGGGAAAGAGACAGGAAATAAGGCCAGATAGTAATGGGCTGGATTTCATAGTTTTGTAGATCTTTATCAGCTGCTATAGGAACATTGACATTTAGTCTGGGATGAGACAAATTCATGAGGTTTTCAAGCTGAAGAGGGACCATTTCTTACTTGCATTTTCAAATTATGACTACTGTATGGAAAGTAGACTGTGGAGGTGCAAGGAGTGATTAGGAAGTTAAGAAGTGGTTGCCATAATTTAGGTGAGAGATACTGGTGGCTTAAAGGAGAGCTTGGCGGTAGAAATGGTGAGAAGTCGTGAGGTTCTCAATGTATTTTATAAACTGTATAAGCTTGGACTATGTTTAATAATCTGGCTTTAAAGACACAGGTGATAATTTGGATGTGAGAGAACCAAGAGGTTGAAGCTTGTCCCTGGTTTTTGACCTGATCAACTAAAAGGACAGAGTTGCCATTTACTGGAATGGAGACATCTAGAAAAGGAGCAGGGTTAGGTGGGAGTAGCCGGTTGGAAGTCAAGAGTTCATTTTGGGACTTTAGGTTTGTGTCTAGTTAGTTGTGTATGAATCTGTAAAGTTAAGGTGAGAGTTCTAGACCAGATGTAAATTTGGGAATCACTAGAAAATAGTATTTAAAGCCATGAGATTGTTTGAGATACTCAAAGAAATGGGTATAGATAGAGAAGAGAACTAGTCCAAAAACTGAGCACTGGGAAACTGCTTAGCCACTAGCCACATGTGGCTATTGAGCCCTTGAAATGTGACTAGTTCTCAGCTGAGATGTGCCTACGTGTAAACTACAGCAGATTTTGAAGACTTAGTATCCCCCCCAAGTGAAATATCTTATTACTAATTTTATATTGATTACATGTAGAAATTATAATATTTGGGATGTATTGAGTTAAAAAAAAACAAAATATGTTACTTTATATTTGTTTTTAATGTAGCTGTTAGAAGATTTAAAATTTTATATATAGTTCACATTTGTGACTCACATTATATTTCTATTGGACAGCGCTGTTCTTGAGTTTACAAGATGAGGAAGAATCAGCAAAGGAGACTTTTAGGAAGGTGCTATAAACTTAAAACTGAGAGCTTTCATAAGGGTAGGGACTATATCTTGTCTTTTTTTTTTTCTTTGTTGCCCTAGCATCTAATATTCTAGTGCCTGGCACAAAGTAGCTACTCAGTTTTTAGACAGGACCCTGAAAAATCATGAAATGCAGTGAAAAAGAAATGAGGATAATGGAAAAATAGAAGTACCATTTTTATTCATGTTCTCACATTCCTCATCATTAGAGAGGAATTGAAAATCCTTAAACAAACAAAAAATATTCTTATTATAGATACAGATATAGATATAAATTCATTGTATATTCTAAAGGGCAGTTCAGTGGAGAAGAAAGAACCTAGTCTTAAGATGTATGGATCTTAGTCCTGTTTCATCAATTAACCAGCAGGTGACTTCGGGCAAAACTGTTAACTTCTCAAGAGTTTTAGTTTCCATATCTGTAAATAAAAGATTTGAATAGATGACTATTTTTATGACTCTTTTGAAACTTCTTTTTATTATGTGTGGTTTGGTCTTATGAAGGGAAATTGCTCTATAAATCTAATTTCAATAATAATAGCAGTTAATCTTGAACTTATTCTAGTAAGATTATTGGGAAAGTATTTTGCTAGATGAGTAGAAAGGAAGTCTTGATTTTAAAAAAACATTGTGGATATGTGTTCTAGTAAGTTTTAGTTTGTATTAGTAAGATTGATTGACATATGAAGACAGAATCATGAATACATAGTGAGGAAAAAACAACCAGCATTGAAAGTAAACTGATTAACCCTGTAATGTCTTTTGCAAACCAAAGACTCAAAATTTTATGTTTAATTGTTGGAGTATTTCTTCTGCAGTAACTAGGAAGCATTGATTGAATTTGACAGCCTTTTATAAACTGCTAAAAGCTGGTATAACACATATGTAGTTCAATTTATAGGTGTCATAGTCTTAGGAAAAAAATATAGGCAAGAATATGTTTTTGAGCCTATCTCCTTAGGTTAGAGAGAGAGATGCATATAGTTTAAAAATTCAGCTGGTTATAGAAAAATAATATGCTCTGAAAATTGGTGAATCACTTGATGAAGAGGTTGACTTTGTAATAATGTACTATTTTTCCAACAATCTATGAACATAGAATAAATAAAACATCTTTGAGCAACTAGAGTAGCTGACAACAAGCTCCAGTGATTCATGTTCTTTATTCATGGCCTGTTGATTTAAATTGGTAATTTTATGAGGATCTGATTTTTGGTTCTGACACTTTGAGCTTGAAGACCTCGGGCATGTTACTGAATCAGTCCCAAATTTAGTTTCCTCTTCTGTAAAATTGACTTAGTATTATATTGCACCATATGAAATTGTTTTTGTAGATCAAAGATGATGAAACCCAAGCATCCAGATCCTGGTTTCTAACACTATTCTCTAATAAAAGGCACTGGGCTTTTTGTGGAAATGCCTGATTCAAAGACTAAGGTAGGGAACAGTTAAGATGAGCCTGGAATATCTTAGAGGGCCAGAAAGTAAGGAAGTGCTCAGAAATATTATAATGGGGTTATATGTGAAAGGGCTTTCAAGGGTCAAAGCTAGAACAACTTCAATAATAAAATAGTATTGGATTACACCCCAAAGTATAAAATGGATATCCATAAGTTCATACTGACATCAATAAATGATTGAATAAATAAACAAACAAAATAATACACAATGCACAAATCCACCATATAGAAGAATTCCAAATAATTTATCTAGATAACCCCCTCAAGGAGGAGAGCATAACTCCCTACTCCTTAAGTGTGACTTCCTTCCAAAAAGTGCAGTGGAGAAAACCTGACATGCTACCTCAGCCAAGTAATCAAGGTCAATATCAGTAATGACAAGTCAGGCTAACATGTGCCTCTGATATGATCAGGTAAAAATGGTACTTTCCCTCTGTGGTCTCTTCCTCTTCAAAACTCATAACCCTAGTCTTTCCTTGAGAAAAACATAAAAAGTATCTGATCGGTACTCTGTCAAGGCTGTCAAAACCAGGTATACCTGAGGGGCCAAAGGGAGCCTGAAGAGACATAATTGCTAAATTTAATATGATATCCTAGATGGGACCCTAGAATAGAAAAAGGACATTTGATAAAAGCTAAGGAATTCTGAAAAAAGTATATGGACTTCCAATAGTAATCTATCAATATTCGTTCATTAATTATGATAAATGTACCATAACATGTTAATAATAAAGGGAATTAAGTGCATGGCACACAGGAATTCTGTGTACTATCCTTACAACTTTTTTGTTAATTTACAGTGACCCTAAAATAAAACATTTATTTTATAAAACAATTGAATGTTGGCAATTTCATGTGATTCAACGTAATACGTATAGGATTGTTGTGAGAATTAAATTAGATAGTATATGCAAATCACTTAACATAGTGCCTGACTCAGGAGAAGTGTTCAATAAATGGTACTTTTTATGAGAATGACTTTTATTATTATCATTAGTGTTGTTTCAGGCTGAATAACTGAAGATTGAGGGAGAAGGTGGCATTTGTTTATTCAGAATTTACTCTGTGCCAAGTACTGAGTTAACCAGTGGAGATTTAATCATAGACAAGATACACATGGCCCCTGGTCTACACCTCTTGGATAGAATGACAACAGAGAGAAGCAATAGCTAGCAGTTTGAGATGGAGAGAAAAATGTAAAAAAAAACCAAACCCATCAGGAATATAAAAATGCAGTAACTTATATCAGAGGAATAAAACACACTATTGTAACTCCTGGAGGCTCCTATGGATGTGTTTTGTCTCCTTACTTGTTTGTTAGCTCTAGCACTAGCTGGTTTTCATAACAAGGAAGTTTTCAAGGGGAAGTGATGAGACTTTCCATGTATGCTTTAATCATTAAGTAAAATACATAGCAAAAATTTTAAAGAATAACTTGTATTGCTTGAAAAATCTGTGTGAAAAACCTCATTCCTTTTATAATTCTACTTTTTATTGTTTCTTAAAATTCCTTAGTCTACTCCCTTTTCTCACCGTGTTAAAAAGGCACTGTTCCTTACCACTATGCTCTCTCCTCCCAAAACAACACAGATGCCTTTTTCTTTCCTAGTTCCCCCAACATTTATTTATGACCCTCATGTCATTCCCTCTTCCCCATTTAGCAATTTGCCACCTAATGCTTGTAGGATCAATATAGCAGCACAGTTTAACTACACCTGAAAATAAAGCCAACTCAAGGCAGTACTCTACTTCCTCAATTAAAGAATTCAGAAAAATTGTTTTAGGCTAATACCAATATGTACATGAAATAATAAGCAGGGTCCAGCAGAAGTAATGCCTGCTTGAGTGTGGTTGGTAGGGTAATGATATGAGTGTACTAACGTACAGTTTTAATTTGGACATTTCACCTAAAATGTATTGTGTGGTTGAATGTGATAGTTATATTACAGAGTTACATGCTTATGATTTTGTAATAAACAATTCTGTTATTAAAAAAAGAGGCATTATTTGTGCTAGGCCTTGTATATTGATATTTAATTATTCATTTTAGTTACACAAATGTAAAATAACATGTGGACTATTTTAACTTACAAATTTTTCATTTTCCTAGCACATTTCATTAAACAATTTAATTCAAACTCTTCTCATGGCTACTGACATCAGTGATTTTGTCATCACAAGAGCTAATTTTTTGAGTTGTCCAGTTTTCCAGAGTACATCATATTTACTTAAATCTAAGTTGTTTGAAACAGCACTTTTTGAATCCATGTGTGACTGGAAATTTTATCTCAAGCTAGATTCCAACTTGAATACAATTGAGCAGTTGATTATTTTTTAAATTGTATCTCTAGGTTATATGAGAGCTATAACTTAACCACTTACCATATTTCATTTTCAGGTGATCTTTAAAAACTTATCTATGACAAGATCCAACACCTAAAATGTTCACTCCTGTCCCCAAGGAATGTTTGTTAAATTGATAATTAAAATTTTGCTTTCTTTTTTATGATTCTGTTAGGCAACCCTTTTAAGCATCCATATATATACCATTGATTGAAGTTGTTTTAGGCTAAGATGTCTTCCCAAATACTACTTTGTTGTTCAAAATAAATTAAGAGAGCACCCCTAATTTAAGAAACTTTGTAAAGATTTAGTTATAAGGCAACTTCCTCTTCTCTGAAGAAAATTGTATTTCCCTTGTGTATAGGCATATATGGGAATATGGTTAAGCAGTTGTAAATATGAGAGGTTTTAAAATTAGTAAGTGGAAATTACACTTAATAGAATAAGTTATCTACAGCAGTGTTTTTTAATCAATTTTGAGAGAGAGGGAGAGAGAAACCTCTATTTGTTCTTCACTTATTTATGCACTCATTGGTTGATTTTTATATGTGCCCTGACCAGGGATCAAACCAGCAACTTTGGTATATCCAGACGATGCTTTAAGCAACTGAACTACCTGGCCAAAGGCTACAGTAGTGGTTTTTAAACTTTAGTATACATCACCCAGAGGGCTCACTAAAACACACTGCTTTACCCCACTGGAGTTTTTGGTTCCATGGGTCTGGAGTGCGACCTGAGACTATATTGCTCACCAGTCCCAATTGATGATGTAGTTAAGGACAATCTTTTAAGAAACAGTGCTCTACAAAGTACTTAAAATTACACAGGACAATATTTTGCCTCCTTTTATTCTATATTGACCTATTTTATGAACAAAACATTATGAGTACCCTAACCATAAACAGAAAAAAAAGGATCTAGGATTGCATAATTGGCTGTTGCATTAAATATTCTTTTAATTATACATATATTTCCTGTACATTGAAAAAAAATAGTCAATAAATCCCTCTGCTAAAGCAGCCATAAATCTTAGTATCCCTTCAAATTATTTTATACAGTGAAATTACTGACCTAATAATGATTATAAAATGCAGGTATTTATTATCACTTAGCATTTTCATTAAAAAGGAAGTTATTTTTCTTACCAGATAAAAACTTAGAAATAGTACATTGCTGTTGGAAAGAAAATTTACTGTGATATTTAGGAACTAAGTCCCCCCAAGTAGGTTAGGTAGACAAGCTGGGTCCTGGTTTTGTTGGGGTTACACTTCTCTAAAATAAGTGAATAATAGCCCCACCACAGGAGGGACATTTCAAGACTGATAAATACTAGCAAATTACATAATTTCATTACAAAATAATAATACATTGAAAATTAATATCAGAACTTAACAAAAAGTTATCTGAGAAATTAAATCTAAATCTAAATCATATTTATCTGGGAAATAGGTGGAGTGCTTTCGCATGACATTATAATTGCATTAAAGCTTTGAACAGTTTTAAAACAATAGAAATTTCACATAGCTCTTATTTCTGTTTATATTTCAAAAGTGGTCTAGTGTATTAAGAGCCGTGCAGGTATTTCACTTGGCAATACAACTTTGGACGCTTGTCATAAGTGATAGTACAAATGAAAGAAGTCATAAGCACAAAGCTTTGTTTCAGAATTATTTTAGAGTAGCAAAAACTTGGAAGCAACCTAAATATCTAACCACAGGAAAGAATGTCAGTAATTAACAGCATAGCTACTGAATGAAAACTATTTGACCACTTAAAATGTTCATTATAGGACCAAACATATAAGAGCAGAATATAAAATTATGTTAAAAGGTAGATGCCTATGAGGAAAGGTAGAAGGGAAAATTCAAACATAAAAATAGTAATTTTTTTAGGGTAGTGATTGAATGAATTATTTTTTCCCTTACATTTAAATCATACTGTATGTGTTGTGTTGTGTGTGTATATTTTTGGTAATGAACTAGACCATATAAAGACCTACTTACAAAGCTAAAGCAGGTCTTGCCTCATGTTGGAGCTACTCTACAGATAATGATATCAGGCCTTGTAAGTTTTTGAAAACCCCTTTGCTTTCTCCCAAGCAGGTAACTAACATTCCACTGTTGATTTAAAGCTTTTATTTGTTACTCTAAGATTATGATAATACATTCTTGATTACTGTATGTGACATTTATGATAGGCTTCTCTTCTTTTTTTTTAAAAAAATTATTATAAATTTACTTCTCAGGGTGGTTATATTAATACCCATACGATACGTTTGGATAGAAAGGTAAAGTAATGGTTCTTTTATTTTTCTTTTGCAGAAAAGAGCTGATCCTTTCTGGCACTTTAAATCCAATTAAGGATTTACATCTGGGAAAACTGGCCTTAACTAAGTTTCCAAAGAGTCCAGAAACATGGATTCACAGGTGTGGTTAATTTACATTATAGGCCTCTTAGGATTCAGAATAGCTAGAGGAAACACAGAATTCACTTGAAGCCAGGTCACATATTGGGTCAGAGTATGAATTTTAATGTGACATTACTTTAAATTTTGATGCTATCACTTGCTGCCTATGTGATCTTCGGAAGTTATTTAACCTCTTCAAGCCTTAGTTTTCTTATTTGTGAAATGGGAATAGTAATTACACCTATCTCAGAGTTAATACCTGAGTTTATATGAAATAATACATATAAACACTACCACAGTGCCTGGCACATATTAAATACTGAATAAATTTTACCCATTATTATTAACTATTCTGATAGAGTCATGGATATTGTATTTAGATATTCAGATATAATGAGCAACTTGAGTTTTATAATTCATTCAGTTGTGTTCTTGGTAAAAATGGTGGTGGTGATGGTTGTCATGACTAAAAATAACCAAGTAAGGAAAATAAGTGCAGCTGAAATTAATGGTATATAGAGTGAGATGAAGTTGCTAAGACCATAAATGCAAAGAATATTTTTAGGTTAAAGGCCCAAGGCAGATAACCAAAGTGCGCGTCAGAACTCCTCTCAAAATCCTGGCTGTCTACAAGATCTTTCTCTTGGACTCCGTCTAACCACTGCATTGACTAAAATGATATGGTGTGAGCTTGCTGGTTGGGTCAGTGGGGAAATTCTCTGAAGAAGTCTGTTCTCTGTCTATTAAGCTATTTAAAACTTTACTTAAACCCCGAGCATTTTTAGGATCTTAAAGTCAGTTCAAGGTACCTTAGCTGTAATCTTGCCTTTGGCCAGCCTTGCAAATCAATCCAAACAATCTAATCAGTTGGATTTTCTTTCTTAGTAGAAATTGTGACAGCATACAGGTATATATGGTTGTGTGTGGAGAGGTCTGGAAATGGGTGGTAGCAAGGGAAGGGAATTACTAAGTATGTATCTATCAATCTATTGGCTTTAATATTTTATAGCACAAGCTTTTGTTGAGTAAAAAACTTATATTTGCAAATGACAAAATGGGTTTTCCTACTAAATTTCTTGTATTTTTAGGTTGGAAATTTTTAATCAAGAAGAATGCTTTCTTACAAGAAAATATTTAAAACTAAAGACATTAAGTGATTAGAGACACTTTATTGAACTTTATTTAAATATATGCTAATGAAAATCTTAGAAAAAGGGAAAATCTATGGATAAAGACATTTTAAAATCTTTATGGTCTCACTAATTATATCGTATTTGTTTCCCTCCAGATACTATATGATAATATGGAAATTTTGCTTCATGAAAGCTGTCATAATGCAGCTTATTTGCTAACAAATACACATAGGGTGAGACATTAGAATATAATTAAAGACATGAACCATGGTTCCTTTTCTAGTATTTACCAGCCATTAATTATATCGTCTTCCCCACCAGTCACCACTGCTAAAGCACATGTGCACACACATGCACCAGTTGCCTTTACAGTTCTTGGCCAGATGGAGTTTTGGAGTTGTCGTTTTGGAACTGATGACATTCTTGTGTGTGTGTGTGTGTGTGTGTGTGTGTGTGTGTGTGTGTGTGTGTGTCAAGTATGTAACATTTCTAGAGTTTCTTCTTTGTTTTTCCTCCTCCCATTCCAATCTGTGCTGCTAAAGTTACATGTCTTTAAAAACAAAATCAACTATCCTCCTGCCCCCCCCCGCAAAAAAGTGGGCTTATTAAACAGGTATTATTTTGCATTATTTGTGAATGGAAATTAAGAGCAAAAAAAAACACTGATTTTTCTCTCTGATTTATGTTCTTTCCTATTCTCTTTCCCACATGCTGCCATAACAGACGATGGGTGCTACAACAGCTAATTCAGGAAACCTCCTTGCCTTCCTTTGTGACCAAAGGAAACTTGGGATCAATTCCTACAGAAAGGACACAGCGGCTAATACGAGAAGAGATGGAGGTCTGTGGAGAAGCAGCAGGGAGATATCCAAGCAACTATAATGCCTGGTCCCATCGCATCTGGGTTTTACAACACCTGGCCAAGCTAGATGTCAAGGTAAGGCTGTTACCCCATCTTCCCTAGCACACTCCATGTCTGCCCTTTAAATGTAATGGTAGTAGTTCCTCCTCAGAGGAGCTTTAAAGGAGGAATGTAGAGGAGCATCGCAGCCTTCTAGAGAGGCTCATGACAGCTGATACCTCCTCAGAATCCCTGGCAATTAAAAAAGTTTGTGTTCCTCACCAGCATATTTTGGCACTCCTAAGGCTAGTGCATTGGTAGAACAAAGGCAAGTGTAGTAATAATGAAGACTGAGTGTAACTCATTTTGCCCTGAAACAGGAAGGATTATGAAGCATTACAGAATTGAAACTTTTTTCTTGGTAGTCTTTGGTTATGTGACTTCACTGTGCTGAAATCAGCTGGCTGCCTTTTCACAGTGTCTCTTGGGGAGGGAATAAGATTTTACCCAGGTATTCCCAAACTCAGCTGAGTCTGTAAAAATCCTGATGTTTCCACATAAAGCTAGGAGGGTTCAGATTTTGGCCCTCCTAGCTATATGCAGAAATAAAGCTTTAATGTTTTAATCTATAAAAATGGGGGCTCTACTTTCTGCCTTGGTGAATTATTATGAGAATTACTTAAATTAATGTATATAAAGTACTAGGCACTTAATAGTAGAGTAAATTTCACTATATTTTAGTTTCTTTCTCTGTTCCCCATAGATAGTCTAGGTGAAACTGGCTACCAGTTTGCTAGATCAGCTCACTGCAATTTGTTCATGAAAATGTATGGGAACCCTGTCATTCCCAGACACTGTCCTGTACATTCAGTGTGACACAAAGACAAAAAGCTTGCTCTAAACAAATTGAAAATCTAGTTGAGGAAGTAGATGCAGGTGCCGGCAGTTAACAAAGCAGTGTGACATTTACAGACACCAGGGGAAGCCGAAGGTACAGTGGGAGCACGGAAGTTACTCCTCTTCCAGGTGGGGCTCACGGGAGCAGCCATCGCAGTGAGGAACGCTGCCTTGTTGGGAGCCTGGAGGAAGGATTACAAGTTACCTGGTGGATTGAGGGCTGCTTTGAGCGCTAGAGCCAGTCATCTCAGTTCCACAGCTTGGTAGTGGGTGGGGGCTGAGGAGAGTTCAAGATAAGGAAGGCCAAGTCCAGGTGAGCTGAGAAGTTGTTGGAAGCTTTCCTGTCTTGATATGAACCTTTTACAGTAGCATTCCCACAAAATCAGGAACTTGGGGCCAAGGTGAAATTCTTGGCTACTTGAAACCATCTGATGTTGATGAGAATTCATTATTAGTGGTGTGTTGACTCAGCTGCCTGGGTCCACCCCTAGGCTCACACGTTGCCAGCCTGCCCTGTCTTTATGGAGACTGTGCTTTCCCTGTCATGACTTCTGTTGTAGTGTCTCTCACTCTCAATGAAGAGTGCTGAATTTGCAAAATCCCCTTTCTGCTTTTATAAGCCATTGAGCCGGGCTAGGAGATCATGTCCTGCTTTGTCTATTAGAGAAGGTAATCACAAACGTACCAGTGGCCTAGAGCAGCTTAAAAACAACAACAACAAAAGTATGCACATGCACACATACACACACACACACAGATACACACACATGGATATTTTGTTGCTAGGATATATTGTAATTGGGAAGATTATTTACAGAAAAGTGTTCATTATCGGGTAAGGATATAAAACTAAATGTGAGATGGACCTAATATAATTTCTTAATACATATATTATTAGCACTGAAGGTCACTTTAAAGTGTTTAGAACTGTACCTGACATATTGTAAGCATTCAACAGATATTTATATACACACACAGTGCTGTTATAGATATATTTTCTTCTATTTTCTGTAATAAGCATGTGTTAGTTTTCTGTTCCAAAAAATGGTTGGAGAATAAAGAATGTTTATCAGTGCTATAAAGTGGAATTATGAGAGGTTTTAATTTTCTATTTTATATTCCCTATGATGTTTGTGCATTTAAGTGAACATATAATTAAGTAAACTTTAAAATAGTCTCATTTTTTAAGGTGAGTTGAAAGGGAAGACTCACAGTTAAGTAGGGCTTATTACTAATAGCCAATTAAAAGTTGATATACAAATGTACAGTAAAGACATGAAAAGATATTCAACATCATTACCCATTAAGGAAATGCAACTCAAAACCACAGTATGATGCCACTTCACAACTAGGATGGATAAAATTTAAAAGACAGAAAAAACAAAAGACAGACAATAAGTGTTGGCAAGGATGTAGAGAAATTGAAACGCTTATACTCTGCTCGTAGGAATGTGAAATGGTTTGACATTTCCTCAAAAACTTAAACATAGAATTATCATGTATGACCTTGCAATTATACTCTTAGGTATATACCTAGAAGAATGCAAAACATTTCATACCAAAACATGTACAAGAAATGTTCATGGGTTTCATTATTCATAATAGCCAAAAGTAACAACCTGAATGTCTAATCTCTGAGAAATGGATAAACAAAATGTGATATAGCCATAAATGGAATATTATTTAGCCATAAAAAAGGAATGGAGCCCTGATACATGTTATATAACATGGATGAAACTTGAAACATCATGCTCATTGAAAGTAGCCATTTTCGAAAGACCATGTATCATACAATTCCATTTATATGATATATTCAGAATAGGCAAAGTAGACTAGTGGATGCCAGGTGCTGGGGGAGAGAGAGAGGAAGGGGAAATTAGGGTACTCCTAATAGGAATAGAGGTTATTTTAGAGGTGATGAAGATGTTCTGAAAGTAGATAGTAGTGATGGCTGCACAACTCTGCAAATATACTAAAAGCCACCAATTTGTTTTTCAACTTCAAAAATTGATTCTAAAGCTCATTAGAAAGAATAGCCCAACTGGGTGGCTCAGTTGGTTGGAATGTCGTCCCATACATGAAAAATTTGGCAAGTTTTAGTCCCCAGTCAAGGGCGTGTACAGAAGGCAACCAATTGATATTTCTCCTTCACATTGTTTCTCTCTCTCTCTCACACTCTCTCTCTCTCTCTCTCTCCCCCCGCCCTCGCGCCCCATCTCTATCTCTTTCTCTCTCTCTAAAATCAGTGGGACATATTTTTGGGCGAGGACGAAAAATAATTTTTTTAAACTAAAGTTTCAAGAGTAGCTAAGAAATTGTTGAAAAGAAAAAAGGGGACACTGTATACCACTATATAGTTAAATGTTTAAAGAGTAATTAAAACTGTGGCACTGGCTCAAAAAATAGACGCAGTAATGGAAGAGAATATAAATCCTAGAAACAAATCCTAGTACATAATATATAGAAATTTCATTGATGATAAATATTACATTTCACATAATTGAAGAAAGGATTCTCTGTTTAATTTGTAATGCTGATAAGATTGATTGACTCTTTAGAAAATAATTGTTAGATTTTAGTCTAATATATCAAATAAACTCCAAATGGAATAAAAACATCTGAAGAAAAAAGGAATTAAAAAAATCACAGTAATATAGTAAGAAAAATATTTACAAGGTAGAAACTTAATACTTTTAATATATAAAGATCTCTTTAAAATCCATAGGAAAAATAATGACTATCACAAATAGTAAATAGGCAATTTATAAAACAAGAAAATTAGGCAAGTCATAAAAGAAACAAAGGAAAAATAAGCAAAGAGGAAAACATTTAGTCTTACTGATAACTGGGAAAATACAAATGATTATGATTTTCCACTTAATAAATTAGTGAAGATTAAAGTATTGGTGAAGAATTTAGAAAGTAGACATTAAGATATACTTCCAATAAGAATATAAATGAGAACAGCCTTTCTGGAGAGGACTTTAACAGTATATATCAAGAACTACAATTTTTTCCCCACAATTTCAATAAGTAAACTTCTAGAAATTTTTCCTAAATAAATAAGATGTTCACATAGATTTATATATGTGTATAGGTTCATAAGATTGTTATTTATACAAGAGTGAAAACAAAATCAGAGAATGGTTAAATCGTGATAGTTATTAGGATTAAATATTATGCAAAAGTGAAAAATTATGTTCTAGAATAATATTTAATGACATGGGAATATATTTATAATTTAAATGGAATAAAATCAGTATAAAAGAATATCCCAAATTTAAGTTAAAAGTAAACTGCACATGCATGCATAGAAAAAAAGTTAAAGATTGATTGTATGCCAGAATGTTAAAAGTGGTCATCACTGGCAATATTTTTTTACTTCTTTATATTCTATATTTTTAAATTTTTATAATCTTTACTTTGTATCACTTTTATAATTAGAAGAAAAACCAGATTTTTTTGAGCTGGAAACTGTATTTTATTCTTTTTTTAGTAGTTCATTTTTTATTGTATTTTTTTAAATTTTTTTAAAAATTATTTTATTATTCAATTACAGTTGTCCCCATTCCCCACCCCCATTACTCTCCCCTGCCCTATCTACCCCCCTCTCCTACATTTAATCCTTACTCAAATGTTTTTTAAAGTTTGTAAGACTGATGGAATGTGTGGATAAGAGCAAGCATTTTCATTAGTCTTTCATTTTAAACCTGTTATCCTTCTGTTTCAAAGCCCTGCATCTATAGTTTTCTTGCCGTTTATTTATTCACTTTTTTTTTAATCGGGAATGTTAGAAAAGAATAATGATGTTTAAGGTATATCATATAAAGGTCTTTCATTCTGCGAGTACCTTACATACAAACTTACCTTCATGCAGTGCCTTTAAGATCACTTAAAAGTAATTGTTATCTTCTTTTTAATCGTTCCCTGTCTATATGCCTTTTTATTCTAGTAAGAAAATGCCCTGAAGAAGTCAGAGAACTTTTTTAAAGGAATTAAGTTGATTTTGATGGAAACCTTTTATATATTTGCTCTTTTTCTTGCTTCAAAGTTACAGTTTTTATATGTAGAAAATGCAGTAAGAAATGATTTAAATGTTTTCATGTTACATAAATTCCTTTTAAACAAGTTTTATTTTTTTCAAAGATGCTGTACCACAATTTAAAATCTGCTGTAATATAGCATACATGTCCTGCAGCTTAATTCTTCAAAAATGTAATAACCTTAAGATTAGTTTCTGGTTTTTTTTCAACTAGAAGATATTCTGGTGCTATTTTGCTCACCTTTTAAATCAAATATACAGTCCTGTTCTTCATTTCTCCATGACTCACCAGAGGTAGCTCAGAATAAATTTATGTGGCTGTAAGTAAACTCTTTATAAAGACTTTAAAGGAGATGTTTAAAACATTTCACTGATATAACTTAACCATCCTAGCAGGGAGTAAACTTATCCCTCTATACTAGTCACTTCATTCATCAAATTGTTCATTCATTCAGTCAGTCATAGAATACTGGCACATCTGCTCTATACCAGTAGGTATAGGGTAATGGACACATAATTGAGAACAAATAAATATCTTAAAGAACTTGTAGAGTTTGGTGGGGATGAAAAGATGCCCAGAATATTCTATAACATGATATATGTGGCAAAACACACAGGAACTATGGAAGTTCAGAAGATGGAAAGATTTCTTTTAGGGAAGAAAGGGAAGTGGAGAGGGGATCTTGGTCAGGAGAAGTCATTTTCCTGGGGTCTTTAAAAACAGGTAAGGGAACCTTTTGGCATTGTGTGGTGTGTAGTCCTCACTGTTGAAAAGTATGTCTTTTTCCTTAGCTGGTCTAAAAATCCTCTGATGGAACACAGCAGGCCCTCAAAATACCTTTCACTGTCAGGACCATTTATGTTTGCTGCCTGTCCAAGACACTGCCAAATACTTTAATTTTTCAAAAATGCTGCTTTTCTCTTTATCATTCCATTTGAAATTGTTTAGTTTGCAGGATTGAAAATACAAAGATCTAAACAATTCACTGCTGAATTTTGTCTCATCTACCCTCAAAAAAATTATTCGTCATTGATGTTAAGTGAGTTGAATAGTAAAGTCATGTGCTCTTGAAAATTCCTGTTATTCATGCATCATGTTTTTGTACGAAGCCCTTAGGATTAAGTAGTGAACAAACAGATGTGGTCTCTGCCCTTATGGCACTTGCAGTGGAGGACAAGTAATTGTATTGAATCTATTGTTTTAAGTAAGTTAGATATAGTACAGGTCCATTAAATATAAAAAAGTTTACATCAAAGCAACCTCTGAATTTATATTTTCCCTTCAATATCAGCATTACTTGTAAATGAACACCTTAATGTTCATTATTATTTTAGAAATTGGCTTTTCTATTGATGTGTGTCAATCAGAATGTGATTCATCAAGGTCCAGGGAAAAAAATGACAAACAAGTTCTTAAATTGTGTGTGTGTGTGTGTGCGCGTGCGTGCGTGCGTGCACGCACACCCATGCACACGTATTTAAATCTATTACTTTATAAAGGAATGGGGAAACTAGCATTTACTGAATTTCTCCTAGGGAGCAGCACTGTGTTAGACACTGTACAAAATACTAGTAGGAATGGTGTTGTTAAAAAAAAAATAAGGAAGGAATGAAGGAGAAATTCAAGGCATTAATAGAGAAAGAAAAACCTTTGGCAATTTCTTGTCTCACCTCCCTTTTTTCTTCCTGCAAGATTCTTCTTGATGAACTATCTTCTACTAAAAACTGGGCATCCATGCACGTTTCAGACCACAGTGGATTTCACTACCGCCAGTTTTTGCTAAAGTCTTTGATTAACCAAACTGTGAAAGACAGTTCTGTATTGGAACAAAACCCTTTGAGAAGTGAGCCAGCTCTTCTTCTTCCAAAAGATGAAGAAGCAGCAGCTTCAACAGAGGAACCAAGAATAAATATTCCCCACCTTCTAGAAGAAGAAGTTGAATTCAGCACTGATCTTATTGATTCCTACCCAGGACATGAAACCCTTTGGTGTCATAGGTAAGAGAAGGGAAAATTCATCTCTTGCACAAAACTGTACATGTCCTATTAGAGCTACAGAGGTGCTTGCATCCGACTCATGCCTGCTTGGGTAAATGTGGTCATCTGCCTGTGGAGCTTTGCCTGAGTGATTTGGAATTGTTGGTGTTACCATATCCTTCTCATGATCATCATCAGTAAGAGGTTTCTCACATAACTGTTTGCCTACAGCTTAGGATGTTCAACCTTGACTGCACAACAGAATAGTATGTTACTTTCAAACAAAAAAAAAAGTTTTTGGACTCCTTCCTTGGAGATACCGATATATAGCATTTGTGAGATGGAGCACTACCATCTGCTTTTTTTTTTTTTTTTTTTTTAAAGAAAAAACCCTACCAAGTAAATTGGATGCACAGTCAGACCATTCATTAGACCCTAAGAACAGTTAAGCTTTGTTGTTCTTTAGGTACTTATTAAGTATAGTCACTTGACACTTTTTTTTTAAGTGTACTTTGGGTGTGTAATAGGATTTTAGAAAGGAGATCTGAGAGGGGTAACAACCTCATAACTTGAGCTCTGAACACATTTGACAGTAAAATAACTTTGATGTTGAAATGATGTCCAGGTATGAGAACCTGTGGTTTATTTTGGATCATGTTCTAGTTTGAAGCATCTTCATTTTTATAAATGCAGTTTCTACTTCAGGTCAAAGGATTCTTTCTGTAGACAAAAGACGCCTGTGCTAGGTAGGAGGTAGGCATTTTAAATATTTGCATTATTTTTAAAATTAATGGAGATTTGCCCCCATTTTCCAGTCTACATATAGTTACAAGATGGAAAACAATCTCCCCTCTTTGGTACCTTCATAAATACAGACTTTCTTTTCTCTTAAAAACAAGGCACTCCCATTTTCAAGAGAGAAGATAGATTTTGACTTATGTGTCATTTTGGTGTTACGGATTTTTGTTGCTGTTTTATACTTAAGCACATTAATAGGCTCAGGTAATTAAAATTATTTTGTATTTGAGAGAGAACTAGTTAATGGAGCAGAAACTTTAAAGATTAATTGGAGTTTTGATGGGGGGAGTGGGGAGAAGAGATAGTTGGGATGGCCTATATATTATACATGCCAGTTTTCTACTACAGATCCATTGCTCTTAGGCAGTTTATCTGTCCTTTAAGTTATACCCTCTATTTAGGGGTATCCAAACTTTTGGTGTCTCTCGGCTACACTGGAAGAGTTGTCTTAGACTGCACACTAAATGCACAAACACTAACAAACACTGATGGGCAAAAAAGGGTTTTAAGTGAATATATGATTTTGTGTGGGGCTGCATTCATAGTCATCCTGGGCTGCATGTGGCCCATATGCTGCAGGTTGGACACCCTTGCATGTTCCCTCTCTATTCTAGGAAATACTGGGAAAATGGATAATATTACACTTTTAAGGGATTAGAGGTGCTGATATGAATGATGAGATATAACCTAGAACTTGTGTAGTTTACTTGGTTGTGTACACTAGATGTGTACCCCACTGAGTCAAACTTTTGTAGATTAGGCACATGGATCTTCATTTTTAATAAATAACTCCACATGATTCTAAGGACAATAGAGGAAGAATAGGAACCTGTAGTTTATACTTCACCCAGAGCCCAGCACATTCCTAATACATGTGGATTTTTAATGAAACTGTAGTGATTGATTTAGGGAAATTCACATGGTTTCTAGGTAGTGAGACCAACTGCGAGGGATTGTTCTTACTAAAGAAAGTACTGGATAGATGCTGTGGACTAAGCCTCTAAAGGAATTAGTTAATCCCTTTTTTCAGGAATCACTTGTCTTTTGAAATATCAACAAGGTTGATTTTTGGTTTCATATTATAGTTTATAGCAGAGATTGGCCAAGAGCTATTTTTGGTTTCATATTATAGTTTACAAATAATAACAACTTCAAACGATTGTCATCATCTCAGGCGATGCTACTTAAAAACGTTTCTCACAAAAAAAAAAAACAAACCCAAACAAACAGTAATCTGGGTTTGTAAGGCTGTCCAAATACCCAGAGATTTTTACCATGACTATTCTTCCTCCTTCTCCCAGGAACTCTGGGTTACAAATGGAGCAGTTAACTGAGTACTGTATGTTTTGAAATTATCAACTTATTTTTTTGTTGTTGTTTTTCTTGAAAAGCTTGACCTTACAATGTGACCTTTTTTTCTCTATGTTCTTCCCTCCCCTTTCTGTTTCACAGGCGGCATGTTTTCTACCTTCAACATCACTTAAGTGGTAGGTTTCCTCACAATGTGACCCAGTTGTCACCTGCAGACAGCCCTGGAGGGACTTCTAGTGACTTGCACCACATCCCAGCAGGCCCTCATACAGCTCAGGCAATGGAAGTGGACGGATTGAGTGACTCTAGCAAGCAAGGCTATTCCCAGGAAACAAAGCGCCTGAAGCGGACCCCAGCTCCAGATTCCCTAGGCCTGGAAATGGAACATAGGTTCATCGATCAAGTGTTGTCCACCTGCCGGAATGTAGAGCAGGCCAGGTTTGCCAACGCATATAGGAAATGGCTGGATACGTTGAGTCAATGAAAGAGGTGGACTATTCCTGCTCCCCTTTTAGTGCAATATTGCTTTCCTTTCTTATTTACGTAACTGCATGAATTGTTTGCTATTATTAGCTAACCATATATTCTTCTTCTTTAGGTTAAAAGTCCTAAAAAAAATCTTTCATTGTATTTATTTTGTTAAGAACTGGCATTCCTTTGGGGATAAAATAATTGTGTAGTTCCTTCCTGCTAAACAGTGAGTCTTAATTTTTTTTCTTTGTAACTTCCCATCCTTTATATTTCTACACTTCTGTAGTTTTAACGGAAGCCTGTATTTCTAGGCTCCCCCTCATTTGGTTCTCCTGGTTGGTTCACACACACCTCCGCCCACCTCAGTGCAATTGCTGGGTAGACTCATCTTTTTAAATTAAAAATTTATGTTGTAGTTAAGCTTAAAAACAATACAAATGCAAAATTACTCAATCTAATTGTTGTTTTGAGAATCAAATGGCCAGATGGATGGGTATGTGAAAATATAAACCATTTCTTTCTCTTGAATATTCTATTCAAGTTACAGACCAAGATAACCAAAGTCAGAAGTATTGGAATTTATATGAAAATAATGCTTCCAATGTAATCCCTTTTTTAAATGGTTATTTTAAAATAATAATAATGATTTTAAGAGTTTATGTAATTGCAGTACTGGAAAATTATTTTTATTACTAGTTTTGATAGGTTGTTTTTACCTCAAATTTGGTATATGCCAAAAACACTCAAGTCAGCGCTTAGAAAAATCGATTTTTTAAAAAAACCTGGAATGCCATTTTTAGTTATTACTACTTATTTTCCTTCCATTTCACCATGAAAAATGGTAGAAATATGCATAGAAATGTATCCACAAAGATCTTCCTTTTAAAAAATTTAAGTTATTGAGGATACACTGGATAAACTACAAAATTTTTATGAAGTGATTATTCAAAGTTAACTGGCAAAAGCCAGGGAGACAGAATAGTTTTGAAGGTTAGTTCTTCAATCTTTATTTAAAAAATAAAACAATTTAAAAACTTTGATACTAAACTTATCAGGGATGAGATACCAAAGTATCCACCTATATCTGTATCTTATCTTTTCAATAACAAGGGCTGGTTTTTTTCAGGTTAGTGCAGCAGTGGTGGGGAAAGGGCCAGGCAACGTCTATTTTCTATTATTATATTTCCACCATCATAAATGGTCTGCATTTCTTATTTCCTCATACCTTTCTGTTTAATTTCCCAGTCTGTTTCATATTTTTTGTCACTTTCACTTTGGTCTGTTTTTCCTTATCTGTCTTATTTCAGGGACATATTCTAAAAACATTCTCTCTATTTCGAATGAATTCCATACTTCATTTCTCTCTCTCTCTCTCTCTCTCTCTCTCTCTCTCAATGTGAACTGCTTCTCTAAAAGTTCCCCTGATGATGGAAACTGTCTTTTGCCCGGTGTGTATTATGAGAGTAATAGTGGCAGAAACAAGTGTGACCACCACACTTCGCTGTTCTCCTTTTTACGTGCTACATCACTTAACAGTGTGAAGAGACAGCTGTAGAGACAGGCAGACCTCGCTTATCTTTCCATTATGGAGGCACATTGCCATAACGGAAAAGAGTAAGTCCTTTACTTCTGCATCATGATTTTGCTGAGCGGCAAAATGTTAAGAGTTAAGAACACCAGAAAAATTGTCCAGCTTGGTTTCTGTAGACAGAAGCTGCTCTTATCTCTTAAGGGCAAAATTACCCTTTTGTAGCTTTTACGGTATTTTAGTGAGAAAATAATTGCCATTATGAATATAATTCCATGGCCCTTTGTGTACAAGGCATATTCTGAATCAAATAAATACCTCAAGGTCCACCTAGACCTCTATGGGTAAAACCATTAGTTTGTGATCTTCAGCACCTGCAGGGGTTTGGGGGGAAATTACACAGAGAAGACATGGGATATTCTTCCCATTCCACTAACACATGTTGCCAAATTCTGGCCTCACTCAGTATTTACCTTTTTTCCAAACATCATTTTAAGTATCCCAAGTATTAGAGCTTCTAATGCTTTTGATGTTAGAGTGTTCAGGACATGACTACAGACAAAACCCTGTGAATCATCAACTAAATTTTATAGTGTTTCACATCTTTTTATACCTTCCATTGAGTATCTATCTTGCTCATCTTGTTAACTGTCTTCTCTGTTTTAAGGCTCTTAGCCCATCCCTTTCTGAAGCCCCACAGTCCTCTAGTATCTTGTTCTCTTCTCTTCCTAATGAAATTGTAAGTAGGGAGAGAAAATACAAACATTCAAAGGGTACTGTTTGTATGTGACTTTTCTGTGATACTTTATTTCTAAAATTTTTATTTCTCAAGTCTCATTCACAGAAAAACCTAGTATTGCTCTATATGGGTGTACTTTTTTCCTAAATGGTTTACACCTGAACTCACCAGCGGTAGCATGATAATAACTGGCTGAATGAGCTCATGTAGTGGAAAGGATGTATCTATCAGGCACTTGTCAGTCTTCTTACTTTTTATAAATATGTTGTTGTTTTAAAAAAAGATGGTTTAGGTTGACACACATTTCATCAAACTTTCACTGAAAGACAGTAGGCCATAGAACATCCTGTGGATCATGAATACTACTGACATGCAAAAAAGCAATAAGATTGTCAATATCTTCACCACCACCACCACCACCTAACTTTTTTTTTTTTTAGTGTGACAATTTTGGTAAAACGGTGTTCCCAGATTCTACTTGCACATTATGAAGATTTTTTAAATATTTATTAACAAATGATTAACTGTTTGAAGAGGGGAAAGATTCATCATGAAGATAGATAGAGCGAGTTATGATTGAGAAATTGATGGATTAGAGCAGTGGATTGTGAATGAATGATGTATTCTAACCTCATGATACTTCAGTGGACATTGCATATAGAATCAGTATATATACACACACATGCACCCCCACCTTGTTTAAGCTTATTAAATCCCTTCTAAGAAGTACAACTGTAATTATCAATTAACTGTACTTTAATATATACTAAAAATTCATAGAACTAATGAAGTCCACTTGCATTAAGAACACTACTTTCTGTTTTGATGTTGGAGAACAGATATTACCAACATAGCCAGAGCCACTTATGAGCATCTGAAGAAATTCTTTGATTTTAAAGACATGTTGATCTGTACCTGTGGCTGGATAGTTATTTTGCACTTCACCTTTTCTCCTTCCAAACTTGAACTGTGGACCTTGTAGATATTAAACCTATGTTAGTCATTTGTTTTAAGCTTGAGAATTTGATATCTATTCGTGTCCCCTTTTTCTTTTCTAGGATTTAGCATTTTATTACCTTTTTGGAAACTTTGGGTGCAGACTTTCAGTCATATTTCTTATTCCTATTGTACGGTTCTAGTTTAAATCAAAGGCTTCATTATTAATAAGACTAAATGTATACACACATCATTAAAAGCCACTTAAATCTTCAGATAAGGGCTTATGTAACAAGATGTAGAAACAAAAGTTCTTGGATTTTTACGTGGCATTTTGTAGGAAATATGGTGGTAACTTTTGTGTCATTTAGATATATTCAGGTCATATCAATTCATGCTTGAGACTGTGTGTGTGTATGTGAGAGAGAGAGAGTTTAGATAACTTCTAATATTGTTAAGAACAGATTATTAGTCTAGTAATTATAGCACAAGATGGTATCTGACATAGGGGCTAAATACAGTTTGGGAATGTAACTGCCACTTGTACAATAATCTATCTAAACCTTAGTTCCCCTGAATTACAGAAGATGATAAAGATCCAGTTATCAAAGGAATGACATCTAATCTTTTTTTGTGTAAAGTTTTTGTAAGCTTACAGTTATTTTGTTACTAGAAAATTATATTTTAAAACTTCAGCATTTAAAGTATGCTAGACAATTTGAACAGCACTGTAACAACAGAACCTTTTGTTCTTCTGAATAGATTTCTCAAATAGAACTGTTGCAAATGCTAGCACTTTGTGTGCTGCCGCCTCCCTGTGCTTGGGTGTACTCGGTAACGTGCTCCTGTTTAATGAAGTGTGTGGAGGCACAGGAAAGCCTAGGCAATATTCAGTGTGATGGAGGCAGTAAGCAGGAAAAATCAACCCTGAGGATTCTACTTAATGTCACACAGTGTCTTTAAAAAAAAAATAACTATACATACTGTGTTAATTCGAGTGCCTTTCTTACTTTTGGGGGGAGCAAGATTATATTTAGTCTAATGTTTAGGTAGAAAACAGAGGACAGGAGTGTTATCAAACAGTTGATTGTGACTCATTTATTCCAGTCACTAGCATGGTTCCCATGGGGTATTTTATCTTTAACGAGATACTGATGTGAGCAGGTGGGATGTTCTGGTTTACATTCATCGGTTATCATGTTTAAGCACCCTACCAAGAAGAATTGGTTCTTTGGGGGGAGGGGTTGGAGGCATCACATTTAAAGGATGGCATGTAAACAATTAAACATCAGTTTGTGTTCAAAGGGAAACAGTGGCTCTCTGCCATAAAAGAAATGCCATACAGTTGTCCTGAATGAACCCTTTGCCTCACTTTAAGGACTTAGAGAATTCCCTCCCAAACCCAGGCCTGCTTAAGACAGTTGAAAAGGAAAATAAATAAATGGAACCTTTGTTCTTTCAGACACTGGAGGGAAAGAAGTCGATACTGAGATGAAGTTTTAAATCTGGCATTTTATTTACTGGGGTATGGAAAGGGGAGAGATGGGAGTTCCCTGTTTCAAGATAACAAGTAATTTTTAATTGTAATTTCATAAAAATAGCTAAGGACTCCAAAGTGCTTTTCAGATGACTGTTGAATAATATCTCTCAATAATATATGTCATGTTCATACTTGAGACAGCAAACCATTGTGTCAGTTGTGGATCTAGGGTGGAGGAGAGCCTTAGGCTCCTGGTTTTGACTTCTGTATTCTCAGCAGGCCATGTTAACACTGCAAAACCAAATTCTTTGCTTTAAAAAAAAAAGAGAGAGAGAGAGAGGGAGGGAGAACAGTAGCTTAGTCTGCTCATGAAACCTTGTGCTTCCAGGAGTATTTTATATATATAAAATAGTTTGTGCTTTGGGGCAATAATATGGTCTACAAAGCTAACCCTGGCATTACTTTAATTAGTCTTGTTATTATTCCTCAGGGTGTAGAAGATTTAGTCAATTTAGGACAAAATTTTATATTCAGTGGCAAAAAAGAAAAGGCAAAAATATACTAAATATATTATTAGTTCTTAAAATTTTAGTATAGATAGTATTTTTTATAAACCACTACCAGCGCAGTAGCATGTAGATGCTTGGTGACTGCCTCACTGCTCATCCTGCTGCTTTGGTCCCTATGGCTTTGTTATGAATGTTCTCTTCCACGTGTCTCCTCTGGAAACAGTTTCCGTATTGTATTATTTTTCATGTTTGGCAGAGGTGGGGGTGTTTCAGATGACATTCTCAGTTTTTGGAAATCCTAATGAAGAAATGACTACTGTTTTCAAACTGACAATTATTTTGCTTCTTAAAACTTCAATTTCCCTAAGAGGGTGTTTTATATTCAGACCCTGTACATGTTCAGTACATTGCATAATGCTTTGTACCTTATAGGAGTTCAGCAGGTCAGAGTTGTTAAAGGTCAGAAAATTAAAACTAGCTTACCTCTTTCTTCTCACCGTTGTTCATATTCTTAGTTTTAGAAGAAATAAAGTACATAAGATATTTAATCAGGTTCAAACATACAAGGCAAAGACTGTAAGTGAAATTCAGACATTTTTAAAGCATATGTGTGTGTATATATATTTATGTTTATGCATTTAAATGAGATTTGGAACTCGAATTTATATCATGGTTTTACAAAGAATTTTATCTGAGGAATTTTATTTTCATATTTGCTTAAAGTGCTCCTGTTTTAAAGGTATTTTTATTAGACCAACCCCCTCAAGCAAAGTTAGAACCATAACACAAGTGCCCATTTGCTTGAATTAATCAGATATTTGTAAATTATATTAAATCTTTGGTTGCGGACAAACCAGTGGCATTTCTTCCATGTCTTTAGGGAATCAGCCTTAAGTTTATGTATGGCAGTCACTTTCCTCAAACTACTATGCAGCATACTTCAGATGTGTATTTATCTTTATAAAGCAATCAGTAATAAATTTGAAGTTTTTTAATGTCATTTTTGTCATAGGGATGAAAATATTACATGTCCAGATGTTGACTCATACAGCATTCTATTAAAAGTGCTCATATGTTATCCTCCCTCACAAATGTCATCTTGCATTTGGAGCAGGTATGTTTTCACAGTGGTAAAAGAATGAGAGTAGACTGAGTGCGATTATAGTAGGTGTTCAATAATAGTCATTTATCAATCTACCATCAAAATAACAGCTTTCAGACAGGAGACTGCTATCCTTCACTGAGGAGTATATTTTCAGAGTAATATATGTTTGAAAAATATATCATTTGACATGAATTTTCAGGCTTATTTAGGTTGGAGTTAGTAACATGTAATAAAAATATTATTCATGTAGAACATGGTCTGAAGATAGGAGTGTGAAAAGCTTAGTGTCTTTTTGTGCAAGGCACATTAATCAATGTAATGAAGTGTTTCAGTAGGCTGTTGAACTCTAGAAAGAACTATATAGTCTTTTGCAATCAGTTTCTATGCTGGTATATCCTGGTTTAGGTTCTATATTTCTCCCTGAATCTTGGTTGCTTTCCAATGTCTTAAACATCTATAAAGAACATCTTTAAAATAAGGGAGATTTTTTTCTTGTGAATGATATAGTAGATTCAGAATCTGATAACTTGTGGCTTTCAGAGCATTTTTAGAATGCTCTGGAATTCCAGTGGAAATTGGAAACAGATGTAAACAGTTAAACATTCCAACCTGAGTTGTGAGGAGCAGAGTGTGGAGTACAATTGCAATCAGATATTGGCTCCTAAAGAGGTTCTTGACATGTGGCTTTGACGCTGGCTTCTGACTGGGGTGACCACTATCAGTATTGTAATTTGGTGTGTGTTGTTCCTATAAGAATAATGGAATGTGTATTAGATTCACTTGATTTTGAGTTGGATGAAATAAAAGTTGAGGTATTGTAAGTATGCCAAATGTTTATACCCTCTTGTAAAAACAAAAAAGAAAGAGGGGAAGAAAATGATAAAAGGCCAATTTTTTTTTCAGTAGCTTCTAAATGTCTTAAAATACATGTCTCTTGAACACTAGGCAGTTGGTTACTTTAACACTGAGAAACTTTAAAGAAGTTCTCAAATACTATATTCTACTGTTAGAACTCACCATGCATGTTAATTTTACATAGCTTGAAGATTTTCTTAAATGAAATATTTAAGTAAGTAGCACTCAATATCGTTTTAAGATTCTGTTAAAGGTTGTGGTTAAATGGACAAGTTATATATAGGATCTGTGGTGCAAGGTCAGATCCTGTGCATTAAAATACATTTGGCTAACTTATTTTACTGAAGATACTAATTGTGTTCACTCTGATTGCACTGCTGTTTAAGAAAAACTATTTTTCCCCCAAAACCGGTCTGCCTTGAATTTCCTTTAGCTCTCATCATATACTGATTGACATTTTTTAAGGGTTAAATATTTTATGAATTCTTTTTACACTTAAATTGTATCCAGGGGTGTCCAACCTTTTGGTGTCTCTGGGCCACACTGGAAGAAGAGGAGTTGCCTTGGGCCACACGTTAAATACGCAAACACTAACGAAAACTGATGAGCCAAAAAAAAAAAAAATTTTTTTTTTTAAGTAAACTTACGATTTTGTGTTGGGCCACATTCATAGCCATCCTGGGCAACATGTGGCCTGTAAGCTGTGGGTTAGACACCCCTGCTGGGAGTGTATACTTTAGAGAAGAATAAAAATAAATCCTGAAGTACAGTATGTGTAGAGGGTGCTTATGATATCCTGGGAGTTAGTACTCCACAGGGTTTAAAGCATGATGCTAAATTTTAAGGCTAATGCCATGATTAGAGATTACCTATATGTGCTCTGTCCAATAGAAATAAACGTGATCCACATTGTAATTTTTACTTTTCTGGTAGCCACATTTTTTAAAAGGTGAAACTTAATAATAATATATTTAATCCAATGTATTATCATTTCAGTATGCAATCAATATACAAAATTATTGACATATTTAACCTTTTCCTGCAAAATTCAGTGTGTATTTTGTACTCACAGTGCATCTAAATTCTGACTAGCTACATTTCAAGTGCTCAAATAACCAACGTGGCTAAGAACTACTATATTGGACAGTACAGACTCATAGGGTACGAAGTATGACTTTATTTTAAATTGGGAGATGGTAGGTGAGGTAAGCATGAAATTATGGTACTTTAAAAATTATTTAGTATACTCAGAAAAGTATCTAATAGAACTATCCATTCATTTTCCTTCATCTTCATTTTAAATTTGTCTAGAAGTAGGCTTAACCTGTTTCAATTTGCCAAGCGTAATATGAGGAAGAAATTCCATGCCATGTAAAATACCATGATATGCTAATTACAACTACATTATCAACAACACATTTTTGTGTTTGCTAAACTCTGTCCTGTTTCTTCAAAATAATACCTTAAATTGCATGTTAATTGTATATCTGTACCTATTTTGTTTTTATATTATTCTTACAATACAATCATGTGTATTAACAAACAGCCCTAGGATTCTAATCTTCCTATGCAGCTGTCTTCCATTACTTACTGGTATGCTTATTAAGTTGTGATAAGTGGCAGAAAAATAGAATGAACCATTTCTTTTTTCCATTAGATTTGTTTTTATTATGTGACCATGTACCAAACCAGCTATAAATAATTGTATTTCTGTAGAATATGGGAAATAGTGTTTATGTCTTATCTTTGCTAAATGTTTGCAATTTCTAAGTAAACTTCTCATCTCCTGAAATGAGTGTTAAGTGTGATTTTATTTTATTTTTCTAATGTTGTTTTAAACTCAATTCCAGTCTGCCAGCCTATCCTGTATAACTACTCTGATGGTGGTAGTGGGGTAAAGGTCTGAGTTGTTTCTAAGTGACCAACGAATTGACTGCCTACGTTTACAGAAAGAATAAAATTGTCACATGTCTGGGATATAAAAGAAATGTCAAAAGCAAATTACAGCAATTGCCACAGTTGTTTTTAGAGTGCATTAACAATGACTCATTGACTTATGAAAGTCATCATGACTAGATATGCTTTTTCCATATTTCAAATGGAGTTATCTAGCTGGGAATGAGTTATTTATTTCAATTTTATACCCCATGTATACTTAATCTTGAGTCTCATTTCTTTATGATATAAGCCAGGTAGATACACAGCATTCAGAGTCACTTAAGTGGTATAATACATAAATGGACTCTGAAAAGTATTTGATGAAGTGGACACATTTTATACTCAGATTTTAAATATTTTAAGAGGATGTTTTGTGGGAAAGGCCTTTTATTAATTTGTCCCATGACTATTTAGGATTATGTTGCAAATAATGCATTACTATTATCTACATCTATTTCTGGTAGGAAACAGGGTATAGAATTTATTTTGTATCATGTCCAAGTACCACAAAAAATGTTTAAAACTACTGTATTGTTTTTGCCTTGATATGCTAGGAAAGAGAACTAGCTTACTAAAGACAGTCTTGATTGTAATTAGATTATACTAAGGAGTTTGACAACAATTAGTATTAGCCAAAGCTTCTCTGGAAAATTGCTTTCTTTGGTAGGATACTTCTTGAAATGAAAGATTAGCAATAATAACAGGCAGGATGATACACTGGCCAATTATGTTTTTAAAACATGATAAACCTTTCATTATTTGTCTACAGTTGGCTGTACCACTTTTCTCATGTTGAAAGCTCAAATTTTTGCTTTTGGTGCTCTGTTTCGGTTTGTTTGTTTTTTTAAGGTGAAGAACAGATGGAAAAGCACAGTTATCTCAATAGAGGCAGAAAAATCATTTGACAAAACCCCAAATCCTTTTTTGATTTTAAAAAAATAAGCAAACTAAGAATAGAAAGAAACTTTCTTAAGCCGATGAAGGGCATCTATGAAAAATACACAGCTAACATCATACTTAATAATGAAAGACTGAAATCTTTCTCCCTCAGATCAGAAGCAAGACATGATGTCCCCTCTTGCCACTTTTATTCAACACTATACTAGAATTTCAAGCCAGAGCTATTAGGCAATAAAAAGGAAAAGCATCCAAATTGGAAAGGAAGAATTAAAACTATCACTCTTCACAGATGATAAGATTTTGTGTGTAGAAAATCCTAAGGACCCACTTTAAAAAAAAATGCACAAAAAAACAAGAATTTAGCAAGGTTGCAGAATACAAATCAATTCTATTTTTATACTTGCAATGAAATATATAAAATTAGGGAAATGATTACATTTACAGTAGCATCAAAAATAAAATGTATAGGAATAAATTTAACAAGTATAAAACGTATGGTTCTGAAAACTATAAAAGTGTTGAAATAAAGTCGAAATAAATGGAAGACTATCCTAGGTTTATGGATCAAAACACAACATTAAGATAGCAATACTCTGCAAACTGATCTGCAGATTCAACTTAATACCCATGAGAAGCCCATCTGACTTCTTTTTAAAAATTGACAAGCTGGTTATAAAATTTGTGTGGAACTGCAGTGGACCAAAAATAGCTCATACAAGCCTTAAAAAGGTCAAAGTAGAAGGACTCACATTTTCCAATTTCAAAAATGACTCCAAAGCTACAGTAATCAAGGTAGCGTGGTACTGACATAAGGATTGATATAGGGATCAATGGAATAGAATTCAAAGTCCAGAGGAAAAAAAATAATGTGTGGTTGATTGTTTTTTGATAAGACTGCCATGACCATTCAGTGGGGGGAAAACATTTTTTTCAACAAATAATTTTGGGACAACTGAACATCAACCATGCATGCAAAAGAATTAGTTTGGATCCCTACCTCACACCATACACAAAAATTAACTCAAAAACTATTAAAGATCTAAATGTAAGAGCTAAAACTATAAAATTGAATAAAACATAGGTGTAAATCTTTGTGGCCTTTTATCATTTTTTAGTTGTAACATCATAAGCACAAGTAACAAAAAATAAATTGGATTCCTAAATTAAAAACTTTTGTACTTAAAAGGACACTATCAAGAAAGTGAAAAGGAAAGCCACAGGACAGGAAAGAATATTTACAAGTACATCTGATAAGAGATTAGTCTCCAGGATATATATATAGTCTTAAGAGTTATATAAGAAGTATATATACATATATACTTAAGATTTTATTTATTTTTTTAGAGGGGAAGGGCGGAGAAACATCACTGCGTGGTTGCCTCTCATGCACCCCTTTACTGGGGACCTGTCCTGCAACCCAGACATGTGCCCTGACTGGGAATTGAACCAGCGACCCTTTGGTTTGCAGGCCAGCACTGAATCCACTGAGCCACACCAGCCAGGGTCCAGAATATATTTCTAAAAGCCCTTACACTCAACAATAAAAAGCAAATAATCCAATTAAGTAATTAGCAAAGGTTTGAACACTTCATGGAAGAATACAAATGTTCAATAAGCACATTAAAAGATGTTTAACATGATTATTCACTAGAAAATGTAAATCAAAGCCACTGAGGTACAACTTCATATTTACATGGATCGCTTTAATAAAAAATGGAATTCCAAGAGACTTTAATATTTTTTTAAAAGATGCTATTTTAGAGAGAGGGGGAAGGGAGGGAGAAAGGGAGAGAAACATCAGTGTGTGGTTGACTCTTGCATGCCCCCTACCTGGGATCCTGGCCTGTAATCCAGGCATGTGCCCTGACTGAGAATCAAACCGGTGACCCTTTGGTTTGCAAGCCAGCACTCAATCCACTGAGCCACACCAGCCACAGCTAATCTTTTATTTTAACTTCCTTATGATGCTTATGTTTTTAGATGAATATGTATTTAAATAATTTTTTAAATACTCTCATTTTTGTGGTTGAGAGAGAAGACTCACAGTCAAGCAGATTATTACTACTAGTCAGTTAAAAGCTGATAATAGTATGCCACCTGAAAAAGCAGAGTTATTTCACTAAGATATCCAAATCACCATCATGTATCTAAATTAGACATCAAGGAGAATGATGTCTAGGCCTGGGAAACACATTACAAATTGAAAATACAACTAAATAGTGGTAAGTACACTTTGGGATTTGTTGAGGTGCTTATATTAGAGTAGATAGAGTATAAATAAATATATATCAAAGTGGAAATGAAAGACCAGAAGGAAAAAAAATATAAAAGATACAGAAACCAGCCCTGGCTGGTGTGCCTCAATTGGTTGGAGTGTCATCTCATAGACCAAAAGGTTGCGGGTTTGGTCCCTGGTTGGGGCACATACCAGAAGGCAACCAGTTGAGGTTTCCCTCTCACAGCGATGTTTCTCTCTTTCTCTCATTTTCTCTCTAAAAAGCAATGGAAAAAAAAAAGTTCTTGGGTGAGGATAAAACAAACGAACAGAAAAAAAAAACCCTGAAACCACATTTCTGGCTGTGTACTGACCTAACCTTGAGCAATGTCATAATCTCAAATAATTACAAAAACGTACAGTTAGAGTAAATGTATAAACCACGCTGGGTGTAAAACCATGTGCTGAGCTCCTCGTGTTTTTACTTAGTTCCATTGTCTTTTAAAACACTGTGGACAAATTACAAAACAATCAACAGTCTCCCTGGTCTCATATTCACAGCCTGTAGCTGCCAATTTGAAACCCCTGTTTAAGAGAGTGGTAGACTCATTGGGGAGCAAGCCATCCAAAGGATAAAAAGAGAGGGCAATATGGCTTATTATTTTAATAAACACTTGGCAGGCATTGGTAGGTAAGTGTGATTATGTACTAAACTGAAATAGTTACATCATGTCAATTTAAGAATTTGTCATCTTTGCTGAACTAAACAAGTTATAATTGGCAATATTGCAATATTAATAAAACCAAAGGTATTTTAATGTGACTTGATCTGTTTATTAATGATGTTGCCTTAATTTAAACTATGTTAAACACACAGTACAGTGGAAGATTATAAGAATATTATTTTATCTAGAATGCTAGTTTTTAAATTAAATCAATGGTAAAATATGTAAATATCAAATATATTTAATTATAGAAGTAACAAATTTAAAAGTTTGAAAAATGGAAAAAAAACTAGAGTTGCCACAATACTAAAATCAATTGTTAGTATATATTTTATATGTAAAACTGAGAATAAAAACAAAATGTTGGATTCTGCTTTTTTTAATTCAAAATTGCATCACACTAACTTATCCATATCATATAATTTGCATAAATATAATAAAATGTTGCATCTTAAATTTAGAATGTAGAAAACTTGGAAACCAATCAAAGAAGTTTAAAATATTTTTTAAAACCTTAAAATCTTACAAAATCAGGAATATAAACATTTCAATTTGGAAATTTGATTAGAATGTTTTTAACATTTCTAAATGCAGCATTTGCCAACATACATGATGGTTTCATCTAACAAGACAAAAGGATCAAAGGGTTAATATATTTCTTTCATCAATGTTGATAACTTAAATTTTTTTCCAGTGAATTTACTTTTTAACAAACTTCATTTGGCACAGATTTTAACACTGGCAAATATTTGAAGGCCACCCTTCAAAACTATAAATCTAACTTTCCCAGGTGGCATACAATGGACCTCCTAGGACACAGATAGTTTTATTCCACCCCAAATCTTTTTTATTCTCTTTACTACCCTGAGGAGGAGTCTTTAGAGATGGTATTAAGCCATGCTGTTTATTTCCATGCCCTGGTTTATGATTCCACAGACAGAAATTGGTTCTAGGCTAGC